AGGGCCTTTAGCTAAAACCTCTGAAGAATATATCTGACTGCCAGTCAACAACGACCCATGTCAGAGTGAAGAAGCCAGAGCGGTCTTCGCCCATATTTCCCTTCACGGCAGTTCAGGTTACTTCTTCAGAGGGGGGAATATTGTAGGCAGCCAAGTTAGATAAAAATATTATAGGCAGTCAGACAGGGCCAGGCCCTCAAAGGAGACAGCACACAAGATGAAATGCCTTACAACTGTGGGAGGGGCGGATGCTCCTGCTGTGAACCAGACCTAAAGACCTAAAGGCCAAACAAATGCTAAATGAGTAGCACCTGGGATTGATATTCTAAATAGGTACCAATCACCTGAAAAGACCTAAGTGAGTCACTAGCCCAACCCCCAACAGAAAAAGACCCTGTCCCATATGTAATCCCATTGGTTGACCATTGTTTTGTCCCACCTCCTGCCCACCTAAGCGAGTTCCCATTCTCTCCACCTTTGCCCCACATGGTTTTACACTATAAAAGTCCCTGGAAGAAACAGCTTCCCGGGGAACTACCCACTCTGGCTCCCCTCCTGTCCCTCTCTTGGACAGGAGCTTGCTTTCTCTCAATAAATATATTCTGCTTATAAAAAAAAAAAAAGAAAGAAAAACTATGAAGAGAGAAAGGAGAAAGGAAGGAAGGTAAAAGGAAAACATACATACATACACAAGCCAGTTATGATAGTTGTAAAGCTGATTTCTCTTGGTTAAATGAGGAGAAATTTTTATGATAGTAATTCAGTGTTTCATGCCTATATCTTATACACTGAGCAACTACTGTGGATAGAACACTACAAAATGTGTTGATTATTGTTACTCTCCAACAGCCTGTTTTGAAACTGATTTATTGTTATTTCTTAATTTTTTTCTGTTAAAAAAGCTGAAAACAGCTACACATCAGTATAGAATGATCCAAAGTCAGGTGATCTGGTTCATGTGTAGACCCAGAGGGCTCTGTATGCCAGCCGTGGTACACATGGCATAGGTTCATGATCACTGATCTAGAGGTTTCATAAACAATCACATAATCATTAATTTCTTTCTTGCTAGCCAAGAGGAAGTTGGTGTTAGAATGAAACCCATTAGGATTTTTAAACAGGCTTTTCAAAACTAGGTTGACTTACCAAAGTCACCAAAGGAAAAATCTTTGGCAAAACTCAATATATTTTTCTAGGAATTTCCTGTTTTGTAATGGATCGATGCACCCTGCTTGACACTTTAAGTGTTACCTTACAGATACTTTACACCAGATGCTCTAACAAGTCTTCTGAAAATTTTTATTTTTTATTATTACATCTTTTCAGTTCATAACAGTTGCATTTCAGCACATAATGATTATGCATTAGTACACGAACATAACACATCATAATTCTTTTTCAGCCTTTTCCCCTCTGTTCCTTTCATCCTCTTCCCTTTCCCATTTCCTATTTTCTGTCTTTTATTTTGTTCTTTATTTATGTTTTGGGTTTCTTACAGAAAGAAAATTAAGCCATATTGAAGCTTGTGTGTCAGATTTAGTTCACTTAAAGTTTCAAGGTGCATGCATTTTCATACAAATGATTCAAGTTTATTGTTATGAGAAAATAGTATATTAATCTTTTCTCTGTGCATATATCCAGGCTTTTCTTTATCTGTTTCATCTGTAGCTGGACATATACTGCTTCCATGATTTAATTATTATAAATTATGCCATCATGTGCTAAATTAAAATAAAAATAGATCGAACATCTAAATGTTTAAACAGAAATAATCTGCTAGAACATAAAATAGGTAAAGTTGTTGAAGACATAGGCATAGACAAGGAGTCTCTGAACAGAACTCCAATGATAAGAAACAACATAAAGAACCTACAAATGGGGTTATATAAGATTAAAAGCTTTTTTATACAGCAAAGGGAATAATAAGCACAGTGAAAAGAAAGGATACAGCATGGGGAGGGGGAGTTTTGTTAACTATTCCTCAGAGAAGAAATATCTAAAATGTATGAGGACCTTAAAAAATTAGACTCCCACCCCAAAAAAAGGACTTAATCAAAAATGGGTGACTGAACTGAATAGACTCTTCTCAGAAGTACAAATAACTAGTAAATACATGAAAAAATGTACATCTCTGCACACTGTTGAAATGCAAATTAAAACACTGCAAATTTATTTTCCTCCTGTAACAGGATCTATAAATCAGATAACAACACAAGTTGACAAGGATCCAGGGGAAAATAAACCCCTCTATGTTATTGGTGGAAATGTAAATGAACAACCCATTCTTTTACAGAAGGATCAGAAGATGTTAACATTTCTTCAAATTAGACTCTTCTAATCAGCACAATGCTGACCATAGAAAAAATCTGAACTCTAAAGATTCTCATGTCATACATAACTAGGCTTTGACCTAGGCCAAAAGAGAAGGGTAAAGATAGAAAAGGAGGGGCACTAATATCTAATATTTGATAACAATTCTTGACCTGATTTTTACCTGCTGAACAAAAGTAATTTCATAGAATGTCAACATGAGCTGAGGATACTTCATGATGATAATGGAATAAGAAAAAGCCAAATATACTTCGTTATCATGCCTTAGATGCCATGCAATCACAAAAGAGCTAAATATCCCATGTTTGGCTAACAGGAGTGACTTTTGTTTCTCCAATGTCAATACTACCTATTTTTTTCCACCTCCTAAATAAAAATGATTCAGATATTCAATTACTGTATTGTGCTTACATTGAGAGGTATTATGCCTACACACAGAAAAAAACCCTGTATC